AAACTTTGAAAGAACAAAGTTTCAAATTCAAATTTTTCTATCTATCTATCTTTAAAAAAATACAGAACGATTCATAGAAAGGTTCGAACAGTACTGAAGAAACAACAACAAAACTTTGATTAACGCTATTTCGGGTATTGCCAAGTATTCATCATCAATGATTTCAGCAAATATTCGATTTTTTATTTAATTAGTTTATAATCCGTATATAATTTGTTGGATAGCAAATGACAGGTTTAGAATTTGTAGAGATTTATATATCAACTTCATCTGATTAATTTTATATTTTTCTTCTTCCAAAATGAATGTTTTCTTTAAATAAAGAAAAACTATTCATTTTTAAAAATAAATAGTAAAAAATTAAATTTTGCGTTTATATAAACTTAATAATAATCATAAAAAAAATTCTAAAAAATCCCATTAATTGTATTATTAATCTAAGATATGATAATAAAAGATTATATCGGCTTTGAGCACTCGTCTGTTAATATATTAATCATCTTTTGATTATGATAGTTTGTATTTCCTCAAACTATGGCATTCCTATTCCAGTAATGCAAATAAATGTATATTACAATTTATCTATTTGAGTTTCATTTATTTAACTTACAGAAAAGTCATTTTCAAATTATTTCCTTAATTATTTAGAAATGCATATCAACTTTCATTGAACAAAGCAATTTTTAATGACCAAGCAGGGGAATTTTCATTGATTTGAAACGAGGAAAACTTTTCGCGTTAAGTTTTATACATTTTTTAAATATTCATAAACAAATTTATAAATTTTATCTACTTAAATTATGATTTTAGATTTTATACTTAATGAACAAGTTCTTTCTAAGTCCACAAAAATAATAGTTTATTGTGCGTAACGTCTATTAGCAACTAAAAAAATTTGCGTTAAGTAGTACTAAACTTGATCACTTTCGTTTTATTAAATCTAACTATACTATAATATTAATTGTTTTGGACAGCCCTGATCTAAATTAAGCAACTTTCTTATTGCCTTTGAGAATAAATCAGTTCTTACTTTTTTAAAGTATCGATCTAATTCGGATCGTACCCATATTTATAATTTGCATTTATTTAATTTGCATCTCTGAACGCTGGAACTTAAAAATTGGTAATAGAGCATATTGTTTTTAACCACAGTCCGTATTCAATTTTTTTCAGCATAAGATATTTGAAGACTATGCATATAGAAACCAAAATTATTTTTCAATGTGAAGAAGAAGTATAACGTAATATATTACAGAAGCAAATATATAGAAAGAGAAAAGAGTAGAGAAATATATGATAATTTAGTTGTTAGTAAATTCCTTATGTAATATATCAAATACAATAAAGTTTTGGAACAAAACAGCCTATGACCTTTGTTAATTATTACCAGCAATATAACTGATCAACTAATTATACATCGTCAAAAAGAAACATCGTTGTAGTCCTGAAAATTTGTCACGAAATCGAAATCGAAGAATGGCCATCTCGAGAAACAGCCAGGCAGCAATCAGGGCACGGGAAGAATGACTATCTTGAGAAACAGCCAGGCAGCAATCAGGGCACTTAAATCTCATCAAGTAACATCAAAACAGGTGATGGATTAGATTCAAGTATCTATTTTATGTGTTCTACGAGCCATATTGGAATCCAAGACAATTACGTAGCCCCAGAACCTTTCTTGGGCTTACTAAAAAGTAACATTTCTCTACTTATTATAAAAGAAAAAGAAAAACAAAAAAGATAACACTGAAAAAACTCCATCATGCTTATCACATTCTGAATCGCTTTTAAGTATTTACAATCTAAATTAATATAAGGAATAAAAGAATATAATAAAAAATTATTTGATAATTATAACATGAATTTTTACAGGAAGTTGAACCAACACTTAAATAAATTGTAATTCCTCTCTGATAGAAATTGCAGATTTTGCAGAGACGGAAAAAAGACCGAGAAACATGTTAGGCACCTGCTTTGAATTACTGCAAAACTTGCATGAATACTCAACATCTGATGATGAACTGATAATATGAAGATTATGACGAAACTACTATTTATTGAAAATATAGGACGTAGGGAATCATTTTAAGTCCAAACAGGTGAGATAAGAGCATTTAACGACTCGATCCCGTCTTTATACCACACAGAAAGAATTGAGACATCATCGTATAATACGAGTATATGTTTACGAATAAATGACTCCAATTATTAAGTCCAAATAGGTGAGATTAGAGCATTTAACGACTCGATCCCGTCTTTATACCACACAGAAAGAATTGAGACATCATCGTATAATACGAGTATATGTTTATGAATAAATGACTCCAATAATTATATCTGAAATGAAATGGAAACATTTTGTACGATTATGCTTTAATGATATATAATATTTCACTGGCCTTGATATTGTAGATTAAATAAATCTATTGATATTATAAAATAGTATAGATTCGATACCAAACTCTTTTATGATAATCTACAATATATAAACCATTAGCATAAAATACACTTGTATCTTGAATATCAGCCACGCAGAATACTAATAACTACGAGTCATTTTTAAATTAATTTTTTCCGGGAATTGGTCATTACCAAAAACTTCAAATCTGCGAATTGTTTTTTTTTTTAATGTGAAACTAACATATATCTTTCATATATAAATATTTATATATTTTTTATAAATGTAATTTGAAAAAAATAAAGAAAATCTAAAAATTCAAGTTCTTTCATTTTAGTACTAAATATTGATTTGTACGATAATAGCGTTACTTGTGTGAATCCCCACTTATGGATGGCTAAATTTTAATAATTTTTCGTTAAGCTTAAACGTTAAACACACAAGATTAGTTTAATATTTATAAAAAAAAGGTGAGTGTGATAATAAACATTGTAAATTTTTCCACTCATAAATTTATAAAAAATTTTTTTATTTTTTTTATTAACAAACTTGTTATAGACCTATCACTATTAAATTTTTAGTAAATATGTAGAGAATAAGTAATGAAAGTGTTTTGTATATATAAGATAATGAACTTAATATTACAGATCCTAGCACTTTATATATCTCAACAAAAGAACAATTAGAAACAACTCAACTAAAACACACTTTTGGGTTTTAATAGGTATCACGCTATCAAGTATCAAGCTATCAGGAATGAATGAGTGAATTCTTCTTAAATACCGAAAAAATCGAATAATAAATATATAGCCAGTCACAATAAAATCGGAAAAAAATTTAAAACAACAATGTTAGGTGTACTACAATTATATTATATAACAAAGCAAAAAGGGGACTCACAGCTATAAAAGATTATCAAAATTGTCCAAAATTTGTTAAAATTTATTATCAAAATTAGAAAGCTAATATTATATCAACGATGATCAATCAATTTCACTGACAAAACTATATAAGCGAAATTATCTATTAGAGTCGTCTGAAATTTTCAACAATGAGTTGAAAGCGGTCTCCGACTACAGTTAAAGTAAGGATCAAGAAAACCTGCTGAAGGCAAGCAGAACACTGCAGCGACTCATTGCTAGCTATGCTTTCAATAATCATCGTAATTAAAAGATCTAATCTTTAATGACCAAACTGAAAGTGTCACTTCATAAGTTATCAAAAATAAATTAGAGAGAAAGACAGGAAAACATCGCTTACTTGCTATTATATCAGAATAAATTATCAAGCATGATGAAGAACATATATATGTGTATCCGATATGGGAATTATTTAATAAACTAATAACACAGTTCAAATATTTTAAACTAATAGAGGTTAAAAATTAAAAACAATTTTGTTTATATTTTTTTCTATGGAAATATGCCCTTATATTCTATTTAATTATAAACATATTTTACACGAAGTATATTTATCTAAACTGTTGCATAGTTTGGTGAATCCCATTTTAAAAAGGCGCCCTAACATCAGTTAATTAACTATTTATATATATTTAAAATAAAATGTAAATATTGATTCTAAATTTTTATAAAAAAAAATGTTTATATTTTCTAATTGTATTTGTTAAATAAAAAATTATTATGAATGTATTTCGTTAAATAAATACATAAAAAAGAAATATAGAAAGCACTTGTACTGTATCCAATCATGTATATAAACGCATGATTTTTTTATTAATTTTGAGTTCTTCACATTGCACAGCTAAAAAATGGAATTCTCTTAACGTTTAAAATAGGCCACACCTTTTATTTTACGTATATCGTAACATTTTCCATATAAATTAGAGGTGGGATTAGAGGTCAGCGACTACCTTGTGGATTCCAGCGTAGAAATTGCTTTGTTATGCAGGATACTACTTTCCTGAGCGTGTGGTCAATTCTTCTTTTGATTTCAGTGACAGCTTGTATTTGTACCGAGCGTTCACGAAGATCAGTATTGGATATGCACTTGGACCACCATATTTTTAGTATTTGTCTTAATTATTTGTTTATGAATACATGGATGCGCAATTAAATAGGAGCCGAGTTGTTCCACGTTCCGCATCCGTAATACATGCTACTGATTAACCCCACAAATTGTTTAACTGAATAAACTACAGAAAATGTAACTACTCGACCTCGTTCTACGTTATTAACAACCATAAACGGAATGTGGTTTCTAGTTACTAAGATCTTGTGAATTCAAGGTGCCGAAGTTATATATCAAATTATATTTGATAAATTAATAAATATTAAATAAGATAATATTTCGTTAAATACAATATATATATATAAAAGTTATAATTTAAAACTAATCAATATTGAAAATTCATTAAAAAATATTAGAACTTTTTCTTTGTATTTTAATATTTAATTTATATCTTTAATATATTATTAGATCAAAAGCAATTACCTCCTAATAAATTCCTACAGCACGACAATTCCATTGTACCATGCAGTCTTCATTATAGATGTATATAATTATACTGTAAATATTTTTAAACAAATTAAATAATATAACACTGCAATATATGTCATGAAATAAAAAATAAAAAATTTAAAAAATGTATTTTAGCGTTTACTTATATTTGCACTTATACTTATGCATTTGTGCTAGCCGCTTACTTCAAGATTATGGTATGGGTCAACCTCCTGAGGAGTTATGTATATATGTACTTACATGGAATGTAGGTGCTAGTTCGCCAGAGAAAACAAATTTGGATAGCTTGTTATCACTTGATGGAACATCAAATTGTCCGAAAAAAGAGCCGGATATATTTGTGATAGGACAACAAGAAGTCCAAGCAAGTGTAGCAAAACAAATAAGTTGTTTATTTACAAATCATCCATGGACAGATACATTTATTACATATTTAAAAGATTATGGTTACCAAAAGGTATGTTCAAGATTGATGCAAGGTTTGCTAATTAATGTTTTTGCGAAATCTGAACATTTACCATACATCGATAATGTGGAGTCGCAGAAAACTGGAACTGGATTAGGTGGGTTTTGGGGTAACAAGGGTGCTGTAAGTATACGCATGAATCTCTATAATGGAAGTGTAACATTCGTCAATATGCACTTGGCAGCACACGATGGTATGATGGGAAAACGCCTCAAACAGTTTACAAAAATTTTATTATATCACAACTACAAAACTCTTCATTATATATTTGATCACGACGTAGTCACTATTCTCGGTGATCTCAACTTTCGAATTAAAGGCATAGATAATTCTGAGTCCATAATTAATAAAGTTAAAAATAAAAATCTTTATGAGTTACTGGAACGTGACGAATTACGCATATTATTAGAACATAATAAAATATTTCAATGTTTAAATGAAGTTTGTCCTGAATTTTCACCAACATTCAAATATAAAGTTGGCACTCAAAGTTATAACAGAAAGCGACGTCCAGCTTGGTGCGATCGAATATTACACCGGGCGCTAGGTAAGCAGGCACGTTGTATCGGATTTCCCGTAGCCTATGGAACTTTTTTAAAAGTGCAACAATTATCATACAGATCGCATTGGAAATACGTGCAATCTGACCATAAGCCAGTTTCAGCAGAATTCTTATATAAAATGGAAAGAACTAGCAAATGCAAATATTTCAGTGCTGAGGGCGATTATATACGACCGGTAATGTAGAGATATATATAAGTATATATGATAAGTACGGGTGTATTAAATTTATTTAATATAACATGCTTAAAAGCATCCACATTATTCAAATTCAGGAGCATTATATTAATACAAAAAAAAAAAATAAACTTATTTATTAAAAGTTATATATATACAGCTAGGTCATTATAAAGCAGACTAATTATCTCTAATATAATCTGTAATCAATCTCATCTTCTTTACTGTTCGACTCTGATCTGAGACAATATATGTGCATTG